TGAAATTCAAGGTCATGCGTGAAAACCCTGCAACTTTGCAAGCAGCTATAAACTGTGCTATGACTGAACAAAACCTGTATAAGCGATTCGAACTCAGGTCGGGTAAGGATACCCAATGGAAGTCGACCATTATAGATCTAAAACAATATCAAAGAGAAAGAGTATTTACTATGTGAATCGAGCAACAAACAGTCAGAGTGTTGAATGTTGGAATTGTGAAAAGAAAGGACACATTAAACGAAATTGTACAGAAAACAAACGAACTTATAGATCAGTTTAACGAGCAAACTCCTTTCAAAATAGGGCCATTGTAAGGAGAAAACATTTGCATGGATCAAAGTAAAAAAAATAAATAAATAAATAAAAACATTCAAAAGTGTTTAGGTTCAGTCTCGTAAAAAAAAAATAAAATAAAAATAAAATTAAACGGTCTAAACTGACAAATCACAAAATAAGTGAAACCATTAAAAAGTGCTCTTAAATCATTACTCTAGCTCTTTTATCATTTTCATTTCATGATTTAAAAGAGTGTATAATCAGATCAATATTGATTGGATAATATTAGTGCTACAGTAAGTAGCGTGTCTGGGTATGACATATCGGAATAAGTTTTCTGAACTAGTATTATAAAGAAACCTTTAAATAGGTTTGATGCTAGAAAGCATGAATGTTGTTAAATATGAAGAAAGGTCTAGGATTACGCTAAGTAATGTGTCTGAGTATGACATTTTAGATGAGGAAATCTAACCTAGAACCTAAAATTGAGACTTGATAAAATGATAACATGGTTTTCTTTCTATGAACCTCTCTGTGACTAATCTAATCATTTCTGGTAAAAAAGCGCAATACATTTTTAGATGACCTTTCCGATTCCACATTTCCAAGATTCTGAGAATAAAGTATTCCCGTAACTAAAAATGGTTGACTGACAAGGGTATATACTTTCTTTTGGGCATAATAAGTTCTACCATATTGAGGGCAGTAATTGTGTTGTATATTAAAGGTCAAGTTCAAAAGTGTATTGGTTGTCCAGAAATAAATGATTTAGGTATAATATCTCAGCCAATTATTCAGAGTCGAGGGTGACCAAGTATCTAGAAGGCAGAGAGACTGACCATAACAAAGCTCTATTTGCACCAGTAATGAGCGTGGAGAATACTGAAAATAACCAGAAAACAGTTTTGCAGACTACAAGATCACTATACCAACAATGGTTCTTAGAAAGCAGAGACGAATTAATCTGATGCTGATGATGAACAGCGACGAAGATCAACACCATGTATCCGAGTCTCGGACTGAATAATTACAATTAAGCAGAAAACTTTAATTAACTTTGTTGCAGATTACAACTTTGTGTGTTTACGTTTGCTGTGATGCATGAATATTTATTACCACTATACGATCACAAATATTATGACAATGTGTCATGTCTGGGAAGTCACCGAGTTAAAGGGACATTAACCAGTGGATGTCAGCGAGTTTAAGGAGCATTCATAATATCCAGTAGATGTCATCTACCCAAAGGATGTCGCCGAATAGGAGGGATATTCAACCCATTCTACGAGATGTCGCCGAAATGAACAAATGATGGTTAAGTGGATGTCGCCGTTTTTCAAGGGACATTCGTCATAATTCGATCAACAATTCGGGACATTCTTATTGGACATCTGTGTTTTGTGTGTTATGGACATTTCAAAGTGATTAATAATTTATAGACATTTTAACTCATTGTGTTAGTGCGTTTTATTTTATGAAACATTGGACAATGTTTCCTCCGGTTTGGGGAGGAATGTAACACAATGAGCGTATAAATTTTAAGTTTAATTGATATATTAATTTGTACAGTACATTTTTCTATGTTTTAATATTGTGTTATGAATTATAAATGATACTATCAGTGTGTAGAGCGACGGACAATAATATTTTGATTACGAACTTGTTCACAAACTCTGGGAGATAGAATACAATAACAGAGCGTCTTCATTTGACGGACAATTAGTTTTTACGATGTGTTGTTCTCGAGCATTGACACTTCCAATCACACTTTGTGCAGAGTTGCAGCCATCTAATTAACTGAAGAATGTGCAAGATGCATAATGTTAATGTAAACAGAGGACCTTGCCGTATCCTATAAGGAGATGGGAGACAGAACTTCAGTGAGGGGCGGACAATGTTAATATTAATGAAGTGACACTCTAACTAACTAATTGCTATTACCAAATATGTGAACCCTATGATGCAGTTTCATGTACAAAAGATGCGCGCACTGAGTATCAATAGCTTTTAACATCCTAGCTCCGAGACGAACTATGAGAGCTTTTACGAACTTAGCTCTGAGACCTATGTGATGCAATGACTATGTGAGCTTTCACCATCTTGGCTCCTAGATCTTTATAATTGAACTTTTCATGTACCATTGTTTGTTTAACCTTTGCTGTGACTTTATAATAAAACTATGAACTTACAAAAGTCTTCTTAATCCAAACACATTGGCTTATTGTGTTATACTAGCATGTATAACAGAATATAGGGTGGGATGTATAATGCAGGCCAGTAATTCTGTAGAGCAGACTGTTGTTCTGGTAACAATTCACTGATGTAATGGATTCTATTGTCAAGTCTGATATCCCATGCTACAGCCTGCCTCATCTTTGAAGACCAGGACTGTCCCACACCAGCCTCAATATTCATCACTGTATCTAGATTCCTACACATTACATAGGGCTGTGTCAACCTGTCCTTGATAATCTCTATCATAGATAAAGCTTCCATGTATCTAAGTGTCTTGTAATAATACATGGCTATGTGCAGCATGTCAGTAATAAAACCAAACTTGGCTGCTAATTTCAGCATGTGACACGAGATTTTGTCAGCTCTATACCTTAGTCTGTTTTTATGTGTGTAAGTTTAAATATATAATATAAAAGCTGTGCTCTGAAGGAAATTAGCTGTAAGTTTCTGTAGCTGAAAGACCTGATATTGTGTCAGGAGGGGTTTCTATTATCTGTTCTATTTTAAGTAGATATCTCATACAGCTTTGTGGGTTCAAAGCGTTTAAAGTGTCATAGCTGTCATAGGTGCGAATTTCATGAAATAGGTTTACATCAAACTCAGTCTCAGAAATCAGAGTATGTTCATCTGTAAAGATGGAGAGTATGGGGTTATGTAGGACATTGATAATAAAAGACCTAATGGAAGGACTGTGTACACAGCTAATTGTGCCACGTACGTTTTACATATGGTTGCACATAAAACATGTATCACGTATGTGAAATATACGTATCACATACGTGTATTACAAACATACGTTTCACGTATGTGGTACAACGTATGTATAACATATGTGTGACTACATACGTTTCACATAACGTACGTTAAACGTATGTTTGGAATACACGTATGTGTTACATACGTGAAACGTACGTGTAACATATGTTATGTGCAACCATATGTTACACGTACGTTAATAAACTTACGGTTTACATGTGTATTGTCAACCACATGTTACACGTACGTTAATGAACACATGGTTTACATGTGTATAGTCAACCACATGTTACACGTACGTTAATGAACTCATGGTTTACATATTAAGCACAAATGTCATACATGTATAGTTTATGTGTATTATAAACCACACATTTAATATACTAATGTACATAAATAAATTATGGTTAACTTGTATTATAAAGCTCTCATTACATATATGTTGGTGAATATAGTATGTGTATTACATGTATCAGGCACATGTTACATATACATTTAAAAAGGTGTTTTACATGTGTGTGAAAGGCTATGTTTGAGAATGAGAAGGCTGTATATTTTGTAAATTCATACTATCACATACATGTATGATAAATGTAGGTTGATTATAAATCTAATCCTTTTTATTTTATTTCAAATTTAATTTATTAATCAAATTATCATTTCGTTTTTGCTATAAAAAGAATAAAAAAAACAATGCGTTAAACATTTATTGTTGCTAGGGACTACATAGTTTCGTTTAAAATACAGGAACTTTTTGTATAAAAGTATGGCTGACTTCCACAACTAACTATTTTTCCTTAATAGTTTAAGTGATTTTGGAGAACTAATCAAGATATTATTTAACATAACAATCAATAGGCACTTAGGGCTTAACCTGTTTTTCAGGAAGAAGAGCAATCATAGTGATATGACTATCTATAAAATCCTTCTTATAACATGTATAACGATTCCTTAGATCAGAAGTTGCATGCATTTTAATAATTATGATATTTTAAAATCTAAAATATCTTTTTTTGACATAAACATTATTATGATAGGGTAATACTAAAATACAATATTTGGTTAAACCCAATCACAACTGAAGCTCACATGTGTGTGCGTTGTTGACTTGTCGAGTGTGTTCTGCGTATTTAATGTTTCAATTTATTTCACATTGTTTACCTTACGTCCACTTTCATGTCTGGCATGATGTTATCAGTTCGCATTGGTTTAAAATTTACTCTAAAAACAGTCAACAAAGTTTACATAAAAAGTTCTCCAATCTCGTCATGTGTATCGAATATCAGTAGAGGCTCATAAAATTGAACTCGGTTATCGGTAGATATAATCAATCCGAATTCGAGAGCAAAACTAAATTAAAAAAAGAAAGAAAGAAATTCACTATAATTTCACAACAAATCTCAAAAGGGAGTAAATGTTTCTCCTAGATAATTATCAAATATACAGTGCGTTCCGTCCGTATAAAATTTATAAAATATACCTTCTGGAATTTTCCAGCCTCCATTTATGTTTTACATGTACGTTACCAGTGACGTCACTGGAAAGAGAAGTCTGACGTCTGCAAGTTCTAGGGCCTAGCTAACGGTGAGGAATGCATAAAATCAACAATTATTTAATTACTTTTTGACTGTGTTGCATGTAAACTAAGGAGGGTGTTGTTTTTTCAGTGTATTAACATAATGGAGATCATATCCGCGACTTGGGTTACCAAAAACAGAAAATATTGACCATGTAGGCAGTGAGCTGTCTTGGTCAGCACCCAGGTGTATCCATCAACACGGGCACGTTATATCAAAATGCAAGTGAAGTTTAAAAATACTGAAATAACAATTAAGTATTTATTTATAATGTTTTTTAACCTAACAAATAAGATGCAAAAAAGAAACAACAACAATTTGATGTAAAGTTCCACTCACTGAATTTATTTCTTTTTACAGTATTTAAAACATCACATTACATGGTAAAAGAAATTATTATCTTTGAGGGCAATAATGGTGTAACAGTTTTTTTTTTTGTTTTTTTTTTTTTACATATCTGCCCTTTTTTATCCTTATGAATATAAATTGTGTTTGAGATTGCGAATTTTTATGTGATTTTAGATATGCATTCCAGGATGGTGACTGAAGCTCATCTTTGTAAACACCTAAATCCCTAGAATGGACTTCAAAACAGATTCTGAAAGTTTAACCAGTATAATTTTGAATATGGTAATACTTTTAATATGGTAATACTTTGAAAAAGGAATAAGATTTTCTGATTGATTGATTGATTGTATACTGTTTAACGTCCCTCTCCAGAATATTTCACTGATATGGAGACGTCACCATTGCCGGTGAAGGGCTGCAAATTTAGGCCTATGCTCGGCACTTGCGGCCTTTGAGCAGGGAGGGATCTTTATCGTGTCACACCTGCTGTGACACGGGGCCTCGGTTTATACAGTCACATCCGAAGGACCGCCCCATTTAGTCGCGTTTTACGACAAGCAAGGGGGTACTGAGGACCTATTCTAACCCGGATCCCCACGGGGCAAGATTTTTTGATAATATTGCTTTCATGTAAAATTTGAAATGCAATAGAGTTTGACGAATTTCACAATACTAAGAGTTATCTCCCCATGTCGGCGTAACTCTCATTTTTCCCACTTTGTCCTTTGTAAGTTTCCTGTTATTATTTTCAATCTTCAAACGGACAATTTAGATCTGTACCTGTATTGCCAAAGTTTGGGGCAACATGAAAATCTTAATGAACATATTCATTACAGATTTTATTTTTAAGACACTGACCAATAGATTTAATTGGTAAGGTTACAGAGGGAATACAGGGCCTTACGCCGGATTGACCCCGCAAAGGGGAATAACTTTTGAAAAATTTAATATGAAAGTTGTCTATTTTTTTTTAACATCTATTTTTTTTAACCTCAAGGACAAAAAGTATACACTTGGAACACACACAAAACAGATGGGTCCACGCCAAGCTAAAGATTAATGCAGAAGGTAAGTTCAATTTTTCATTTCGTAACTCTTCTGGTTTTATCCAGATCGGATAAGTTACATATAAGTTAAGTCAGCTTCAGTATAATAGAAGGATATGGAGATAATGAACAGTATTCAATCTCAAAGTCCATAAAACAATATAAAATAAGAGCAGGACAAACACGGACCCCCGAAACATCAGAGGTGGGATCAGGTGCCATAATAAAACACCTATTTACTTAATTTTCGGAAAATATGTTTATCATCTCCCTCGACAGAAAACTATTTCCCTCGGCTGCATCTTGGGGAATAGTTGCTGTCTTGGGGGATGATAAACTAGCTTTTGTCCTCATAGCCAGTAAATAGGTGTACTAATGTATATACCGTTTTTAGCTCTTCTGAGCCAAAGGCTCAAAGAGCTAATGCTATGGCCATTTTCATAGCCCCCCCCCCCCACCACCACCACCTAACCTAATGGGGGGGGTTAACCCATCAAAATTATTCAAACTTGTATTTTTTTTAATTGGACATCAGGCAAACTGTTAGCAAGATTTTTAATAAGCATTGAGTCCTACTAAAATTATGAAATTCATATAGCCCCAGGGTAGGTGGATCAGATGTAAAGGCACAGCTTTATTAATTAATCATAAACTGAAAATGCATTGATTTATTGAAAATCTATATACTAGTAATGCTCCTAAGTTGAAAGCAAAAAGACTAAGTTCATGACAATGAGGAATAAGTTTTATGCCCCTATAATCAAAGATTCTGGGGTACATCTATATAGCTTTTGCCCTGTCTGTCTGTCTGCAAAATCTTTTCACATTGGCCATATCATTTTAGTGGGTGAAAGTATGGCCTTCATATATTTCAAAGACCTGGGTATTCATTGTGACAATACTTTTGTTCTGGTACACCAAATTAACATTTGAATTAAACTTGGAGTATGACTCACTTATAAGAAAGTTTCATAACGGAATCTTGGCCTTTAACTTTTGAACAGTTGGTGCAAGGGCATTCATACTTCACTTGTATATTTACTGTGACATGACCTTTCAATGGGTATGAATTAAAATATTTGACCTTGAACTTCTAGTTTAACCCACTGTTAAAATACTTTAACTTTGATCATAACTTTTGACCTGATAGTAGTAGGGCTTTCATATTTCACAGATTTACTCTTTGTGACAAGTACTTACTTGGATGACCTTGACTTTTGGAGTTTGACTTGCACTCAGAAAACTTTAACCATAAGCTGGCATATGGGGTATCAGTATGTACAAACACATCTTTTTTTCCGAGTTCACCCACAAATCAATGCTATTTAATGAATTTTAGGTAAGAGAATTACATGGTATATATTTGAGGATATAGTGAAAAAAAATAGTTTAAAAGATCATGGTTATGAATGCTAAAAAATTAATTATTGTTATTTAGTATTTATATTTAAGTTCTACAGGGAATCAACCAGGATTAATATGTGGATAATAATAATGTTCAGGGGAAAAAATGTGTTTTCCCTTACTCCATGCATTTAATATTTTCTTTTTCTTTACAGAATAAAAGAGAACTGGAGAAGAATGAATTGATGTTAACATACTCAACATTAAATTTGGCTTAAATCTAAATATGTCTTTTGTTGTGATTGCTTCAAGAGCAATTAGGATAAGGAAATTTAAAGTGAAGGATAACCAGAAAGTGGACCATTCAACAGATGAAAGAAAATAAGCCTTTGAGGGAAATTATGTCAAATGCATGAATTGAATATTTAAATTGCAAGTAATTTTGTTTCACCAACTTTTACAATATGTGAAAAAAATGTTCATCATGTGTTTGACACATTTTTGTATGGTATATATACATTAACAATATGAGCAGTGCAAATAATAAACCCATTAAACATGTTATGAGAAACATATGTTACACACACGTTGCACGTACGTTATTCATATGTGAAACGTATGAGTAACGTACGTGTGCAATATATGTGTAACGTATGGTTGGCAAAACGTATGTTTAACATACGTGACACGCATGATATTCACACGTGTGAAAACGTACGTGGTGCTTTTTTCATGGAAAACATACGTTAAGTCACATACTTGTCACATACGTTTAACATACGTGAAACATATGTGGCACAATTAGCTGTGTATCAGAAATGTTATACCCTTCTCATACAACCCATGTAGTCTTATAAATAACTGACGTTGTTTTTCACCATGAATTTTACTCAGAAACATGTTGTTTTCTGGAATAAAAAAGTTAGTACAGACCCCCTCATACACCCATTTCAGGATAAGTTTAAAACAGACCCAGAAAGCCCCCAGGAGATTTTGTGGACACCAGTGAGTTAGTGTATTTTGTTGAATCACCCAGAAAACTGCTGTCTTCATGTGATAGGAACACAGTAATGTATCATCATTTAAAATGTTTAGTTCTTTGTTAATTATTTTTGTTAGGCACAATTTAAGTAAGCCGTAAGTTAAGAATTGAGAGTGATTCATTGCATACACAAGTTTTTGTTCTGCCAGAGAGAAAGAAATCCTCCATTCATTGTCTTCATTGCGTCCTGTCGCCCGCGTGGAGCAGTGGTTAAAGCGTCTGCTCTAGAGTCGCGAAGTAAGGAGTCAATCCTTACGTCGCGGGTTCGAATCCCAATGCGGGACGTGGAGACCGGTCCTTCGGATGAGACCGTATAAACCGAGGTCCCGTGTCGCAGTAGGTGCTGGCACGAAAAAGATCCCTCCCTACTCAATGGCCCTGAGTGCCGAGTAAAGGACAAAAATTTGCAGCTCTCCACCGGCAAATGGTGGCGTCTCCATATGAGTGAAAAATTCTCGAGAGGGACGTTAAACAATATACAATCAATCAATCAATCATTACGTCCTAGCTTTTGTCCTATTGCTACAAAGTGACATCCATTTTTCACTATATCATGAACAACATGAGGCTGAGGCCATGAGTGACATCTGTCTATCCATGAGGAAGCAGATGGAGGCCAAAAGTCACAAACAAAACAGTGGGCATGATCATATTCTAGGGTTCCTATTGTTTGAGTGGCACAGGGTCCATGTGGAATGGAGTTTAGTGATGATTCAGACAATAAGATCTGTCTGTGTTTAGAGCTAGATTTGTATCGTCTGTTATACATTCTAACACAAACTCTTTGGAAATAGTTGTCCATGTTTGATGACAGTAAATATAACAAAGTGAATCCTAGTGGACTTTCAGAACAGTCACAGAGGGTCAGTGTTTGTCTGTGTGTGTTGTAATACTGAGACTGAGATAAGTCTCAGATCACACGGTGGTTCTTTTTCCAGTACATAACATCTATATCTGATCCTTTCAGTCTGAATCCTTCTCTGTGACTTCCACTCAACATCTCACCGATCCCGTCACTTGTTTTTACTTGGTTATTATTCTTTTCCCAGAAGTCCACTACATCTCTCCACATGGCCACCAGTTTTGAGGTCCCTATTATGTGACACAGTCCCATAAACACTGACTCTGATATGTGTTGTATGGCTGTCTTCCTGATGTTGATCAAAGGCAAATTTTATAAATTGTATATAATACTTATTGACTCATTTATATCTATAAAATATCGGTATATGGTAAAAAGTCAGCAGTATGACCATAATCAAAGGCAAATTTATATAGCATTTTAAGTTAACTCAAATGCTTGTTATCATCATCGGTGCTTATTTTAGCATATTTAATTTAATCACTTTATTAAATGTTTTACAGGTTTTCATTTATATTAATCTACTTACTAATAAAAAATTAAATGAAAATATAAATTTTTTTTTAGTCATCCATTATTATATGTACGTTAACCATTAAAACTGACATGTTTGCAGTTCCGATGGAGTCCATTTCATAGGTAGGACTGAAAAGTTTCAGGTGCTATAAATAATACAGAAAAACTTCCACCACCTATATGTAAATGTACTTTCATTTTAATATATTGTATTTCAAGGTATCGGAGAATAGTGTTAGTTATTCAAAATTCAATGAATATTTGGCAAACTCTTCAGAGAAAAAATAATAGTTAATAATTCTCATTCAGTTAAATAATTGAATGACATAAGATAGTGAGTGGAGAAGAAAAGAAACGTGGAGCCACAAGGTTAATTGCTTACCATGGAATTTAACTGGTAAAAGCAAATTTTGATTGTTCAAAGAAGATTTTATCATCTATAAAAAATTTCAAAATTCAATTTGAATGTCGTCAAAATTTTTATTAGCATAGTAAAAAAGAGAGGAAATCTAAAATGCTGTAATCTGGTAAAAAAAAAATACTTACGAAGTATTTTGAATTTTAAATAAAATCATTGCAATTTTTTTTTTGTCATTGTGTGAAATTAAAAATGAAATATCAAAAAAAGATGAAAATGCTTAATAAAGAGGAAATTAACTGTACTAGAAGCGAGTAATGAAACACTAAATTTGTCATATTTTATGAAGACATCCCAGTATTCCATTTATCACAGACTTTATGTTCTGGAAAATATTTTAAGAAGCTATTCAAATACTAGTAGTTTTAGATTTTAAAAAAAGTTATTTAACTTGAAAAAACATTAATACAAATAAATCAGCTTTACAAATACTATTAGTTTTAGATAAAAAAAAAAAAGTTATTTAATTTGAAAAAAAAATTAATACAAATAAACCAAGCCCCCATGTTTTAACATATTGGAGGAGGGGGTGGTAACATTTTATTGTCCCCCCCCCCCCTTCACTTTAATCCTCGCAGAAAACTATTT